TGTGTCGTGGCCGTTGTGCGGCTCCTTATGTTATTATGTCTAATTTATTTTTCCTTGATTTACTGTTATTCCCTGGTCAATCTCCTTCCACACAGTCTGCCCAGTTTGTTGCGCTCCTTCCTTTTTTACCTTTTTTCCGTTCAGTGTAATAAACCATGCACTGCTGGAGCTATCACCAGTGGTGTATTTTGGTTTTGTGCTGCCCTAAGCAACACTAAACTCAGACACCCTCCCCAATTTAAATTTGTCCCTGCTATTCATGTTTAAGACATTTTGCGGAACCTGTCAGTCGCTGGATACAGTGTGCACGCAATAAGCAATGCAAAATACCACCAGCTAAAATGGACTACAAATCCCAGCAATATGTCATACAGCAATGCATAATAATATGAAGCTACATACTCTGTGTTGCTCTGATGTCTCCAAGTGGGTTGTGCGGCTCTCAGGTGGGCCGTGTGGGATTTCAGGGGTCTGTGCAGGGTCTCAGGTGGGCTGTGCAGGACTCTCCGATGAGCTGTGCAGTGCCTCAGGTGAGCTGTGTGGCATCTCAGACGAGCTGTGCGGTGTTTCAGGTGGGCTGTGCGGTGTCTCAGTAGGCTTTGCTGCATCTCAGGTGGGCTGTACAGCACCGCCAGGTCCCCAGAAGGCTGTCGTGAGGCCCCTAGCAAGCGCAGGACCTTACGTCAGCCACTTGTGTTTAAAAATTTAAAGTGGCAGAATCGCTCGGTCTCTCAGGTGGGCTGTGTGGGCTCTCAGGAGGCTGTCCAGGGTCTTAGGTGGCTGTGCAGGGTCTCAGGTTGGCTGTGCAGGGTCTCAGGTAGGCTGTGTGGGCTCTCAGAAGGCTGTGCAGAGTCTCAGGTGGGCCGTGTCCTTGTCTCAGTAGGCTGTGCGAGGACCTTACTGTACCCTCTTGTAATTAAACATTTTAGGTGCCGATATCGGACCTTAGTATCGGGGCATTTTAACGAGTACGAGTACGAGTGAAAATGCCCAGTATCTGCATTGAGGG